TACAGCTTATTGAATTTGTTCCTGGTGAGTAGAATGATTACCGCTAGGAAGTGAGCCAAACACGGTCTTTTCAGAGAAATGCAGTCTTTACATTACAGCCTAGTGATAACTTCACTGGCCACTCCTTAGATGGCTGTTTGAGATCCTTCCTGGGTCATGGCTGCCTAAAATGCATCCAAACATTCAGTATTCCCTCTCCCCTCCCTCTGCATGCAGACACTGAACTTTCCTCATAGAGATTCATTGATTCAATTCATCTCTATGAGGAGATGCTGATTGGCCAGGGCTGTGTTTGAATCATGCTGGCTCTGCCCCTGATCTGCCTCTTTGTCAGTCTCAGCCAATCCTATGGGGAAGCACTGTGATTGGATCAGGCTACCACTTCTGATGATGTCAGCAGACTGCTTGGTTTTTTTTTTTTTAGACAAACAGCATGCAGATCTACAGCTTCAGGCTTGAATACAGTACGATTTTTACTATATTTATGGAGGCATGAGGGGCCCAGGGGGGCTAGATGGTGGTTTAAACACAATAGGGTCAAGAATACATGTTTGTGTTCCTGACCCTATAGTGATCCTTTAATATGGTGGCAGTATACATTAGGGCTGTACTTCCCTAATTTTGACAAACATCTGCAAGAAAAAAGAATTAATAGAAATCCCTCTTACTCATCCTATAAAAAGACTCCTGAGACAAGCACACCTCCGTTATTACCAAAAAACCCACATATTTATATACTGCAATTGACCATTATTAGAGAGTGAGATTTGTGTTGCTACCATATTAAGGAAAACAGCAATTTTTACTTAATGTAAATTATTTTTTCCTTAATATGATGGCAGTACAGGAGGATCTGTCTTCCTCAGGCACGAATAGGTTTACTCTCCTAGCAGTCAAACTGGAACAGCATACAATAAATCCTTCCCCCAATAATGAGACGACACTTCACTTTGAGGGTTAAGCAGGAACTCCCTGTACTGTCACATACAGTCTCTTTTATTCCCAATCCACAAACATAGTACAGCCCACAGGCGTTCAAAACAACCAATCACATCACAGTTACATCCCATATTCCCTCCCCTTATCCTGAGAGGAAACTCAATTATACATACAGTTAAAACATACTTTCTACCCAACTTTCATAACTCTAAAACCATACATCACATTCTCATAAAATTACATATTCACAATCAATCCATTCAGGGGAACAACATATTCAAAAATGGCACAAATCAGACCAGGGGTTCAAAAGTTAAGGGAAAGTCCTTTGTGACTAAATGAAGCATGGCTTTCTGGCCCAAACCAGTTTCAGAGTCTTCTATCCTGGAGATAAGTAATTCAATTATCTCCCAGGACAGACACAAGACTCCATTAAGCACATGGTTGCAAAAAGACACAAAACACTTTAAAATACATAAAGTCACCTTTTATACATAAAACACAGACATATCACATATCCCCAGATAGCTCAGGTCTGAGCGCACATTATTAAGTGAATGGCGCTCAGACCACACGAATACAGTTTAATCGCCATGGAGCCAAAGTCTTTACAGTCAGTTTCATACAAATGGGCTCCATGGGATTCCTATCTGGGGTATAACACATTCAAACACATCTACCGAACCCCAGGCAGAAAAGCACGAATACAGCTTTTCTGCAGGCAAAAATAAAGTCTTTTAAAAGGGGGCCATAGTCATATGGCAGGAGGCTGGCAACCAGGCTTCTCCAGTGCACAGTGGCGAGGTTGGTTTCGCCACATACATCAGGAGATGCGTTTCGCTGGTTGGGTGGCTCTTCAGGGGGATAGGAGCCTCTGGAGCGATAAAGGTTTAAATATCTTGCTGTTACTATGTGATTGGTGAATGGGGGTGTCCAATCAGAGTGCATTATCCAATAATTAAATGTAGATCTGCCTAATGGAGCTGCTGGAAAATCGTTAAAGCTATACCATAAGAAGGCAATCTTATCAGATGTTAATGATTGGTCGGTAAGCAATGACATCGGGTATGTGCAAATTTAAATCAGGTTAAAGACATCAAACCCGAAGTTTCATTGGTAAATAATGCTATTATAGAGCTCTCAAACAAACTTTATTATGATTCCATTACACTAGGCATAATTTGTTTACACTAGATATAAATATGGTCTAATGATAGTATAGACGATTGAAAAAAGATAAAGTAAAGGAAGAAATGTCCAAAAAAAGGGGATAGTCATAGTGTTGTATACAGTTCTTGTATATAATATAGGTAAGTCCTAAGTTATGTGATTTAGTCTATTAGGACGCTTTTTGTTACAACATAAAAATCCTAGATTCAGCGTGAACTTGGAGATAATCATTCATTTATTACTCATTAATGCTTGGTAGTAGTTAGTTACCAGAGAAGGGAGAAATGTGATAAAAGGAGAACTACTTATAGAAGGATAACTATCATTAATGCTACAAAGTATGGATATTTGTAAACGAAATGGAGGTAACAGCTGTAATGTGTTTATGTATGATGAATATATTGGAAATGCATGCTCGAAGTTTGTATGTATAGAGGAACATGGAGAGACATTAAATGTGTAGACAGGAAAGGTAATAATATATACGAATATACTTGTGTGCAATGAAAAAAATTAAGGGAGACATAAGTCATCAGATAAAGCAATGATCTATGTATTGATAGAGTGCCGAAATGGAGTAATTTATCAATGAATAAATAGTTTATAGTTGAATTTTTCATATAACTCCTCAGGTGCCCTAGTTTTAAATTTGTAAATAAATCTCTTATTCTCTCTGGAGGAGGGTCAGATTGAAATTGTCTTTGCGTGAGTTCAAAATTAGTTTCTCAATGGCCTGAAATTTAATAAACAGGACTAGACATATCTAAAAAGAGATTAAAATCAGTAATGCATCTCTTTAAAACAAATTTGCAACTTGACAAACAGAAGGTTTTAAAGTAGAGACAAAAATACCTCACCTTAAAAACCTCTGACCTGTGTGGGTTACTGGTGACACGGGAGGTCCTTAGCAACATCCAATGCTGAAATAAGGATTTGCACAGCTTAAATACCTTTCTTAGAAGGTCCTGGCACCAAAATGTTGAAATTCCAGTCCGCGCATGCGAAGTAGCGCGATCAGAACTTAGGCGGAACGCATGCGTCTTACTCCCGCAATAATTGGCCGCCGTCCAGGTACACCATTTCCTCTGCGCCGGAACCCTTCTCGGCTTAAAAGGTCTGCTTCCTGCTTGCTCCGTAAACCAGACCTGTTAGGAGCTTCAGATTTCTACCCTTGGGCCAAATCCTTCTGGCCTCACCAGGACTCGTCCATCCTCTACAGGGGGCAAGGAAAAACTGAGGTATGATTGGCAGGATGGCTTTTATAACAGGAGGAGGAGGTGCCTTTTTTTTCTAATGTCTTTTAGTGACTTGTCCCTAAGGAAGACACGTCCCTCCTGTACTGCCACCATATGCCAAGAAAAATTATTTACG